CGGGGCCCGGCCCGCGCATCCGCGAGGGCGACTGCGCCGTGCTCAAGCGCGGCGACGTCCTCAAGGCGGCGGCCGTGCTGCGGCGGAGGTGAGCGGCCCGCCCGGCGGGAACGGGAACGGGAACGGGAACGGGCCGGTGCCGCGGCCTTGCGGCCGGCCCTCCCCTTGGGGTCTGCCGGGGCGGTTTGAGTGCGGGCCCTAAACCGGCTTTTTTCAAGCTTCTGACCGTTTTTTTTTTAACTTAATGGTGATAAACACACGGGTTGAATGGGAAGACGTTTTAATTCTCTTTATTAAAGTGTCCTAAATGGCACCGCTTTTCTGTCGTGCATTATTTAATTGCATTTGATGGTGCGAGTCATGGTGTGTTTAAAATATATATATATATAATATGAATTTCAGTCGTTGGTGAGCTGAGAGTTGCAGACAGCAACGAGCTCAGCCTTCCTGCCTGTCCTCAAAATGAACCGTTACTATAATAAGGCTATAATGAGCCTTAAATTGATAAGTTTTGACTCAAATGTGTGTGCGGCAGAGCTGCCACTGCCGGTTTCCCGTGACAAAAGTCTTGTTTCCTTGGTTGGCGAGGAGGGCTGCGTAGCTCAGCCTGGGAAGTCAAGGCTCTCTGGGTTCTTCTCTCGTTGCTGTATTCCTTCGTATCTATGAAGAAAGAAAAAAACATTGCAATGTAAATTAAAGGGATTTCTTGGGGGAGATCAAATATTTCTAGGATGCATTGCTCTTCCTGCTGCTTTCTTTTCCATATTCCTTTTATATTCATTTTTTTTCTTTGTTCTTTTCCCAGCCAGTTTCAATTTACTGTGAATTTGTTGTCAGTAGTTAACACATCACTTATTATGCTTGTCGTGTTTCCCTCAAGAACGTAGATGGAAAGGTCATAGATGAAGTTAAAGTTTATTTTCGACTGTTGTTGTGTTTTAAAATCCTGTCACCTATTCTCTTGGACATACTAAAGGTAATACTTTTAATATCATTAACTCTTTTCGTTATTTCAGAAAAATTATTTTTGAAAAGCAGTGGTTTTATCTGGATAATGCCATTGGACATTTATATGGAACTACATTTGAAGTAACTAGCGGTGGGAACCTCCAGCCGAAGCAAGAGATGGAAGAAACTGCCACAGGTATTTGGGAGGATTGGCTGATGTTTGGAAAAACTCGTGCCAATTAATCTGTTTCTTTGATACAACCAAAGATGATGGAAAATAAGCTTTCTATTAATCATTTGTTAACTTTCRTTACTTACATTTCTTCTGTCATAAAAAGTGCATGGTTTTGTCTTGATCTGCTGTTTTGCTAGTCGGTTGACAAAATTTTTTAATATTGGGAAAATTTGGAGTTTTAGTCTGTGTGAATACTGAAGTTTATTTTATATATTATATTTMACTGATTGCGCAGGCAGTATTATACAAGACCACTTTATTTGAAACTAAAATCTTACATTTCTCCAGCTTGAAAAACTATTTAGAGCTAGATTTTACAAATCTATATCCTTTTTCCTTAGAAACAAAAGAAGCAGGTACAGATAATCGTAACATAGTTGACGATGGAAAGTCTCAAAAACTGACTCATGATGACATAAAGGCTTTGAAGGACAAGGGTATTAAAGGACAGGTAACACTAAGGTTTTGGTCATTTCTGTGCTGCCTTGATGGTTCTATTTCAGTTTATGAATAGGCTGTTCTTTTTAATGGTGCATAGAMTTTGGTGCTTTTTCTTTGTTCTTCTGCTCAAGTCATGTTTTTCCTAAAGATCTGGTTTTATAAAAATGCAAAGCTTATTTTCAGAGAAAACTTCATGTAAGGTTGGCAACTTGGTCAATAGAGACCATAGGGAATGTAGTATGAATTTTTACTACATCTGAAGTCAGACAAAAAGGAACATAAAATAAGTTCAAAAATCTAATTTCTGCAATCAATTTAATTGTTTTTGCTTGCTTATAAGATTGGAAACTTCCATACCAGAAAAATTCCATACTAGATTCCATACTACTTATTTCTAAACTATAAACCTACTAAAGTCATATAATAATTAATGCACTCAAAGCTGTAGGAAGGTATTTGTACAAACACAAAACCGTTAGCAAGTAACATTATATATGTCATKCTCTCTCAGTCTGTCTCTAGGTGGTACCTACCAAACTCTGATGYGTGTATTTTATCTGCATCTCCAAAGTTTAAGAATATTCTCAAGGGACCAGTTCTGTGCTGTTAGCAAAAGGGTGTTGGGTTGGTTGGTTGGTTTTACCCCACCCTTTGTCAGCCAAGGCTGAATGTCAGTAACCCCCTGCAGTCAGTGACATTCTGCACCTATTATCAGACAAAATTCTCTCTCATCTTTGGTTTCCCCACTCTAATAAAAGAGATTGCTCATGCTTACATCAAGTTCATCTCCTCTTTGCGTCTCGCTCTTTGCTGCTGCTCTTGCCAGCAGCTGTTCTGCTTTTTGCCTGCTTAATAATGGATGGGTCCAAGCAGAAGTGCTGTTATGTTTCCATGGTTGAGCTGTTCCTGCTGTTACCGCTTTGGGAAGAATGGACTAATCAGTCTGATGGCTTTGACATTTTCTGCTCTCATTATCTGTGTTGGAAGATCCCTCTGGCTCTTCTGCTTGTCCTCAGCATGTCTAATGTCATACATCTACTGTATTGTTAATGCAGGTTATTAAATATCCTGCCTTGTTAATGGTGGTTTCTGAACTGTAGCTGTAAATTCATTTTTAGAGTGTGTTAATACTAGCAACAATAGACATTATTCTTTCATGAATATGTGGTAAGATTTGAGTTAATATCTTGAGAATAACATTGCTTTGTCAATTTAGAAATTCCTGTTTTTTTTTTTTTTTTTTAATAAAATAACCTCAGTGTTAATGGGGTTTCTTCAAGGTCAATTTTCCTGACAAAAGTCCTGGTGCTGTACTCAACTATAAGGCAAAAAAGACAAGATAGGCTGCTCCATTCTGTTAATAATAAATTTTAAGTGTTTGAAAGACCTCAAGAAATAGTGTCCTGAGAAATAGCAACTTCAAGAAATACTTGCATCAATATATTTTGTATTGCGTTCTTAAAACATACAGGAGATGCAATGTCCACCTCAAAAATTATCATTTTCTCATCCCTTCCCTAAATTCCTATTAGGCCAGGTTATACCATTGCTTTTCACACATGTTTAATAGGAGCTTCAGTTTTTAGGCACTGAATTACCTTGACCACAGCAACAAGAAACAGCAGTGGTTGTGCTGTTCTTTTGTTGCAGACATAGTCATAAAACCTGAGAAATTAAGCTCTTCTTGTGTTTGCATCTTAATGATCCTTCCAGCTGTAATCTAAAGAGTATGAGGAAGAAGGATTGGACTGACAAAGGGAGTATATTAGAACTAGGAGATGAGGAGACAAAAACTGGAATTCTTGGGCAAACACGAGAGCTTGAGAAGGAAAGAGTCATGAGGAGCGTTATAGGAAACAGTAAATGCTAAAGAGTCTGTCATCAAGCAAGGCAGTAGTAGAAGACTAGCATAAATTGAGACAAAGATAAGAAAGATGTCTGGTAAATAGTTAAGTATAGAGGAAGAGGAGGAGCAGACTGGACAAAAAGATGGAAAAAGATGTCTTGCTAGACTGAGACCCTGAATCAGGCTGAAACTCAGGCAGAAAGTTGCATTAAAGGAAATATTACATATGACACTACATCCCGTGCCTTACTTTTGTCAAATATTTTTGCCAATATAGCTTCACACAAAGCTTGATAATCTGTAGGCTCATAACTTTATGGGAACTGTTAGACTCAGCATATGTGTCATATACATAGCATTTATGCATGTCGTATATATGTCATTTTTTTCATAATATAAAATACAGTGTGTGTGTATATATATATATCAGTTATTCCATAGTAACTGGCCATAAATACAACTCTGCCTTCATTCTAAACACAGAATAATTAAAAATATCTAATCATTCTGAGAAAACAGGATTTTGTCTTTTCCTTCAGATTAAGCATGGGATAAGAACGTGAATATACAGAGGGCGCACAAAAAGAACTGAATAATAACTTGCTGATGCTCAACAGAACAATCCATCTTTTTCTTCATTTCTGGCCACAAAAGTCTCGTGTCTTGGTGTGCCAATTTAACATGAAGAACATAGGAACGTTTAAATTTTGTTTCGCCCCCATTTATACCTGATTTGGCATACTGAACAATCAGACAAGAACCAGCTCTGGTGAAAGGAAAGGCCGTTTATGTATAAATGCCCCAAGTTAAAAACTGGAAATAAACTTCCCACCTTGTTCTCACTTCTGCTCGTAGCACTTTTAGGGCGGTGTTAGTAACAATTATACCAATGTACATAGGAATTGGTATCTCATTTTAACATAGGAATTGGTATCTCATACCTTTCCTCACAAAATACCATTTCAAGGATCAACACTTTCACTTTGTCATTTTCATGTTGACACTATATAGTTAACATTTTTTTTAAAGCATATAATTAAATTTCTTTGTAGAGCCAGGACAGTTTTCTTCCTTTTCCTGTTTATTTGTCATTAAATGTCAGAAGTTGTTAATGGTGTATATGCTTCTCTAGTGGAAGAAAAAGTTTTCAGTGTTTGGTTTTTTATATACTGTATGTGAATAAGAAATAAATACAGACTATAATAAAAAATTCTCTTTTCAAAGGAAATAGTTCAACAGTTGATAGAGAACAGTACAACATTCCGAGACAAAACAGAATTTTCTCAGGATAAATACATAAAGAAGAAGAAGAAAAAGTAAGTTAATTRCAGGTATGGAAAACGTTTACTAGTTCTCCAACTTGTTTAGTTTGAAATACAAATATTCCTATGTTTTTTCTTGCAGATATGAAGCAGTTATTACAATTGTAAGACCTTCCACTCGCATTCTTTCAACAATGTATTATGCAAGGGAGCCTGGAAAAATTAAGTAAGTTTTCATTTTTACTTTCAAATTATAATGGAAATAAGTTTTTAATAACATATTTCAACAYACCTACATTACATACTGAGCATATAAGGCTCATAACATATGTTCTTTTTTCCCATTAATGGAAATACTGTAATCTTAATAAAAAATAACGTGATACGAAAAATGAATTGATGAGCTATTGCTGCAAACAAGGGAAAAAATCTCCTTTACATGCAAGATTGACTCTTACCACTTCCCTGCTGCAACTATCTTACAAATTACCTCCTTAGACACTATATATTTACAGTTAAGTCATTTCTCATCTTTTGTTGGTCAATGGGATATTGTATCTGTTTTCTGTCAAAGCAAAACAAGTGACCTACCAGAAATGGGGGTTTTTGCCTTTGAAGGGAAAAAAAATCCAATCAGGTTATACAGAAGTCCTCAGAATTTAAAGAGTTGAAGTTAATAGGGAGAAAGGAGATCTAGCTGCATTTGATTTTCACTTACCTGAATAGATTAAGATGGACTGAAATCATGACTGCTAGTTGTGATATTTATGGTTTCTAAGCTTCTTTTCCTTCTTCCCCTTTSTTTTTTGCTTGATTTTACATCTGTCTATTAAGAGTAGTTGAAAGCTCTTCAGCCATCACAGCCTCTTCAGTGCCTGTCCAGCAGTCAGCTCTGTTTCATTTTGATTCCTGATTCAGGTTTGTGGTGCTGTACTGCCAAACGGATGAGAAACACAAAGGATATGTTATTCAGTTAGGGAAAAAACCCTTAGAGACTATTTTTTTTCTTTACAAAGTTAACATGTCATAGAATTTAGAACAAAATGTAAAGAAATTGAGAGAGACTTGGTTTGACTGACACAGCATGAGATGTGCAATTTAGCATCAAACCAAATTATCTCCCACTTCTACTGTTGTCCATAAAACATAACACCCATCACTTCATGTTTGCCGTGGCTCTATTGCTTCTTTATTACCAGATGATTAAGTATAAATTTCTGCACAGTAACTGTCAAGACCGCTGATACAGAMCTACTACTGTCTGTAATCCAGCCTTTGGTGACAGCTCCCTGAGCTGTATGCACAGTATTTCTAACCTTAAGGAAAATTCATTTGGCATTTCTTAAAACATTCTTGTGTCCCAGCCATTTGCGATACGACACTCTGGCTCAGATGCTGACGTTRGGAAACGTCCACGCGGGCAACAAGATGATCATCGTGGAGACGTGTGCGGGGCTCGTGCTGGGTGCCCTGATGGAGAGAATGGGAGGTAGGTGACGGGGTGGCTTTAATAATAGGCAGAATGAGGGTTTATTTGAAGCTTTATTTCAAAATGAGCTCATCTGTGATGCTTCTGAGAAGTATTTCTAAATATTTTGTGGATTTTAAAATCTGCTGTCTCCAGCATTCAGACTGATATTTGTAATTCCATAAAGGTGTATTTTGCACGTTTCAGTTACAGTGTCCCCAACTTATTTTTCTTAATAGTGAAAAAAKAATGTATGTACCTGTTTCTGTCTTATGCTACCATAATACCATTGTGTTCAGATGTGACTACAAGGAGCTTGTATATAGATTCTTCCCTAGGGCTTCTAAGATGAAATTACTAGAAAAGAGGAATGGTAACACTGTGATCCAGATAGACATCGGTGTTGAAACTGATGTCCTGGATCATGTCCACATTATCAGAGAGTTAACAGCAGCATAGTGTACATTTTAGCAACGGCACATGATATTTTTGGAGCATATTCTAGTAGAATTTTGGCTTGTTTTTATTTCTCAAACTCAGTAAACTAGTTACTTTTTAAATTGTAATGGGGCACTAGAAGTGACTAGAGGCTTCCACAAGCCTGAGTGGGTAGAAAGGAAAAGCAGACAAAATAAGCTGCAATTTCAGTACAGCTATTGAAAAGATCTTTTAAATATGTTTAAAAATATGACATCTTTTCCAGTAGAGGTATAATATGGATGGTTAAAGAAGTTCCACTCTATTAAATCTGTGAAATTAGTTTTTAGTTTTAATCAAAAGCACTCCRTAGGTTTAAGTAACTAATGTTGTAGAAAATATGAGTATTTTTAATTCTAAACAAAAGTGGCTTCTCTAATGATTTATCACTGCTTATTTTGTTCCATTCTGATGCTAAATACCTGTTTAATATGTGCATAGTCTTTGACTTACCATGTGCTTCTGAGCTGCAGTAACTGTTGTCCTTCCAATAGAATCCCACCTTCAATTGTACCTCAACAGCCTGTTAAATTTGAAAAAAAAAAGTGGATTAAGAGCAAGCATCTTAGTTACTGTTCTTAAATCTGCTTAGTTGCTCCCAGAAGTTCAGGCTTGTTTATGGATCTAACGTGTTTTTGTTTATTTTGCTGTCACAGGCTATGGCTCCATTATTCAGATGTACCCAGGAGGGGGACCTGTTAGAGCTGCCACCAGTTGTTTTGGTTTTCCAAAAACTTTTTTTGATCRTCTTCATGAATTTCCTCTCAGCAAAGTGGATAGTCTTCTCTCTGGAACGTTTTCCACAGAGAGCCTGCCTTCAGAACCAGAAGATAACGCAGTAGTAGAAGAAGAGAGCAATGGCTCAGTCGATGAGAAGCAGCCTTCTGTGCAGGAAACAGAAGAGGAATCCATTAGGGAAACAGCTATGGAGAGGGATCAAATAGAAGAGCCAGAAACAATGGACATGAATGCTGAAGATACAGGATTTAAAGAAAACCAGGGAAAAGAAAACAAAGAAAATGTAAGAATGCTTAGTATGGCTGTTTTAAGCATTACAATATCAATACACTTAAACTCTGCTGTCTGAATCAGGCGAGTTTGAATATAATGTATTTTAAAATGGAAACGTGAAAGTTGTGTTACATTGAGAGGAGATGCAGAACATGAGCGTTGAGTCCACTCAGTATCAATCCAAATATGTAACTACCAGTTAAACTTGGTTTTTCAAAGGTTCGGGAAAAGCAAAGAAGACAACAGGAGAGAAGGAAAAAGCTGATAGAAGCTGCTGCTTTGTTGAAAGAGAARAATGCTGATGGGTGAGTATGCTGAAAAATTGTTTGGTTTGAATGTGCATCTACACAGAATAACTGAAACAATAAAGGCAAGCCACACATGTTGTGCATCCACTGTTTTGTCCTTACCTGGCTGCAGCTTCTTCTTGTCGTTTACAGGGTTAGAGATTTTCTGATCTAAAAGTCATCAGGAAATATCAAAAAACAAACCTATTGAAAAATGAAAAGAATTAGAAGGTAGAATTTTTGATAAAATTATTTCAAGTAAATATCACAGGATTATAATTAGGAAATAGTGTGAGGTCTTGAGCTTAACTAAACCATAACTATGTGAGTTCTGTTTGTTTGTTTTAGAAATTCTTTTTTTTTTAATGCAGGAAAAATGCTCGACCTCGTTCAGTCTGTATTAGTGAGGACTGATTGATCCAAATGATCAATTTTTGCTTAAGGATTTAATACCAAAACTATAAAGTATATTCCTAGAAATTCAGACTGATGATAGTTTATAGACCTGTTGATGAGGGTGAATTTCTCATGAAATGCTTAGCAAGCACTGAAGTGATTTGAGTCAATCAGGTAGTGTTGGTTTTAATCAACTTTACATGCTCACTTTTCTTCCAGAGGCTGGGAGGAGATAGAGACCTGTGCACTAGAACAAAAAGTAATTTCAGCTGCTTTAGCTCCTTAGAAAGAGAGCTGTTCAACTTGGGTAAATTTTAATATATGTGTATTGGTTATTCTTCAGTTTGCATTTAACTTTTGTTTTGACTGTCAAATGTTGCAGCTAATGCCCATTCATATTTTAGGATAGGCCATCAAGCATGTTAAACTTGTAGAATTTGTCTTTTATATGACTATTCAGACAACAACCTCTTTCTGAATAATAAAATCTGTTAGAGGTTTTATAAGGAGTACTTAAAATCTGTTTGGCAGCAGCAGCATTAATAATGGCTGCAGATGATTATTAAACTGCCTGAAGTGTGTTTTGGTTTTTTACCACCTGCAGTCATCTCATTAATTACTGTTTGTGTGTGGTCTGGTAGAGCTAAAATGAATACCTGGCTTTATTTGATTCTTTGATTCTCCATTATAAAATTCAGTATATTCAGTTTTTGAGTGTATTCAAAATTGAGGAGGTCCGTTTAGTCTTTTGTGTTTCTGCTTGCTATTAGGTTCTATTTTTCACTTGTTTTCGATCATTTCTATGCTTTTTGCTGTTAACAACAAATTATGTATTTGAAGGGTTCTTGCTCTAGCAGCTCTGGAGCATGATAGGAGGCAAAGAGCAGCTCCTAGCTGCCCGTAGGCAGCTGAGCCCAGATGGCTCGGCCAGAAACCAGCCCCTTTAGTCATTTGTCTTCATAGCTCCCCACCATTTGGTTAGATCAAGATCCCCAGGGTACATACTGGGAAGTCACTGGGAAGGCAACAAAATTGGCATGGAAAAAAGGCATGGGAAGGCTCACACTGATGACTTGGCCACCACTTGAGTAAAGGAGGTGAGAGGTTTGCTTTGCAGGAGGAAAAGGAAAAGGAGAAGTGAAAGTTATTTAACTGGAGAGATAGGGACAGAGCTTCAAGGTTGATTGTCAGAAGAATGAAAAAATGGTAAAGATATTTGCCAAATTCAGGAGAATAACATTAAGTATTAATGTTGAAAATACACTTTTAATAGAAACTTACACATATTGTAACTTTCTGTCCTATTACATAAGAGTGTATTGAAGCTATTGCAGTTCTGTCCRTGAAAATTTCTCCAATTCTGTTTGTGAGAGTTAAAATTGGATTTTGAGGGGAAAAAGGCAAGCATTCATGAGGGATTTGGGGTTTTACTTAAAAAAAAAAGGAAAAAATGAATAGGCAAAGATAGAATATTGCATTTTCAGATATGATAAAAGTAGAATTTGTTTTTAAGGTCTCTGCTGTGCTCAGAACCTGCCTGTGCACCATCCCTTTGCCTTCCCTGTCCTTCCTGCACCCCTCCCACCCATTGCATCCATTTGCAGCGCGGCCGGACCGCCCGCTGGCACCAGTATGTGCTGCCATATGGGGGAACAGCCTGGAATCTCTCCGGTGCTCCCGCAGCTCCCATTTACCTTCCTGTTGCCTGGCAGAGCTCCCGCAGCCGCAGCCATCCAGGCCTTCTGTGTGAGACTGTGCACTCCTTCAGCTCCCCTTGCTTAGCTCCAGAGCACACAGCCACGGAGATGGGGAYTTGAAGGGGGTCTCCAGCCTGCAAGGCCACCTCCTGCAGAAAACCAAAGTGCAAATACCCCTAGAATCAATTTTTTAACAAAAACAAATTTAGAGGAACATCAGTTGTTTTACCTCCCCTTCGTTAGCCAAGTCACTCCGTGTATGTTCCACTGGAGGACAAATACCAATGGGTGAGACATAATGTCTGTCCTCTAGAAAAATAGTATAAAAAAAGCTGTTCTTTSACCAGAGAGATGATTTACTGACCAGCCGATTCATTCCTTGAAATATTCTTTTCCTTTTTTGCATTTTGTTTGTTTGAGGGTTTTGGGGTTTTTTTGGGGGTGGTTATGTTAAAACTTTAGATATCTGTAAAGAATCTTGAACAGCTTTAAGTTATATTCCACTATTAAAATGAGGATATGTGGAAAAAAACCTAGAAGCCTTGGAAKTGGCAAGGACATGATTTCTTTTAAATTTTGATTTTTTTGAGCAGTTTGATTTTTAGTCCAGCCCACTGAGGGGTTGTTTTCTCTTTATTTAAAGTATCTTCATATAAAACTGCATACCCTGAAGATTATCTAGGCTTAGATAGCCCTGGCCAAGGCTACATTGCATGGGAAAAATAGCAGTACAAAACTTGAAGTATGTTTGGGCAGCCGTCTTGGGAGCAGGAAAAGCAGGATGCAAGTTCCTAGGATCATAAGAATTATTCTGGAGCTCACAAGGAGTTGAAGCAAGTGCCTCTGCAGTGTGATTGCTCTTCTGCTCTGTAGGGAACGAGCTTTTTATCCTCGTGATTATGCAAGCAGGAAACTATCACTCTTTGTTTTACGTTCCAGGGTTTGCTAAAGCCATCAAAACATAACGATGAGCAACATTCATGCTGGAGTTGATGCACTGGTCCAACTTAGAGGAGATATTACTTAGTTTCCTGCTTCTGTCATCCGTTCACTAACGTGCATGGAATTTCTTTTACAGGTTAATTGTAGCCAGCAAATTTCATCCCACTCCTTTATTACTTTCTTTACTGGAATTTGTTGCTCCTTCGAGGCCTTTTGTTGTCTATTGCCAATATAAAGAGGTAAATCAATTTTGTTATTCGAGTTGTTATATTTTAAATCTAAGACCATTTTGCTGTATAACTTTCTATTTTTTTTTATTATTTTTTTAAAGCCATTATTAGAATGTTACACAAAACTAAGGGAAAGAGGGGGTGTTATTAACCTCAAGTTGTCTGAAACCTGGCTCCGAAGCTACCAGGTAAGAACTACAGTAAGCAGCTATCAAAACTGCATGAATGCTGGGGAGGGAAATACTGAAAACATTTTGGGGGAATTGAGTGAAACTACCTATAAATTTGTATTGATACAAAGCAAGATGAAAATACTCTGAGGAATTTGAATGCTTCACTGCAACACTTTGAGTAGAAAAACTCCATTTGCTTCTGTCAAAACATTTCGTTAAAATGCTTGATGAAATAAAAAGGCAGCACACTGACAAATCTAATAATTGTGCTGTTTTAGCAGCTCCCCTAAAGTGAGATACAGTCTAACAGAGTGGAAGAGAAATGCAGCTAAGTGTTACGCTTGTTATTAATTCCCAATTGGGGTGATAACTTAAAACTAAATTGGATGTCTTGCTGYCTAATTTTGTAGCCTCAAAAGGGTGATGAATTCCATAGTCAGTGTTTTCACRTACGTTTTCTGCAATGAGAAGATGATTCAGGTGTTGGAAACTAAATAATGAAAATGTGACCGGGTAGAGGGGGACTCTCATGTGGAAAAATGAAAGTCAGTTTGGCCAATGCAGGGAGAGGGGATTTAAAAATGGGAAATAAGGGATTTAATGGGATTTAAAAGTAAGAGACATCGCATATTTTAAGCTTTTAAGCTTTGCCCAATTAAACRACCTGATAGGCCCGGATAGGTTGGCTCTTTGCAGACAACTTGTTCTCCTTGTGCGTTTGAAAAGGTCTTACCAGATCGAAGTCATCCGAAGCTGACGATGAGCGGAGGCGGAGGGTTCCTGCTCTCCGGTATTACCGTCGTCTCCGATAGGAGCAAATCGGACTCGGGCAGTTTGGAAGAGCTGAAAACTGAGGAGCCGGCATCTAAAAAACGGAAAGTTCAAGACCTTCATTGCTAACATGTGCAGAATTGATCTGCTTTTCGGATCTCAGRAGTCGAAAGGAAAGTAACTCATGCACTTTCTGTGCTTTTGACAGCATAGAAATAATACCTGTCATCCRTCTGTCAGCAGAAGCTGAGGGTTTGTGGTGTAGGGAGGATTGTCCTCCTCCCCTTACCCGCTACACAATCAGGTGGGGAAAAACCCTTCTCAGTAAAGCTCTGTCAAACACCACACTGAAAACACGAACAGCAGAAGAGCTGGTGATCACGCCGAGAAGGTGACCTGGGGAGGAGAGAAAGCGCCAGCGAAACCAGGCGGTCTGTTCGTGGCCAGAAGCAGAGGTGAAGGAGCTCTCAGAAGGGTCTCACTCAGCTCCTTGTCAGACCAGCATCAAGGTGAAATATTTTGTACAGTGATCTGCTCCGTGTTCTGGTACGGAATCCCCCTATGTTCAGTCAATATCTTAATGAAGTAGGAAAACAGCAGAAACACTGCGTTTCTCTCTCCAACAGGAAAGCAAACAAAAAACTTAAACCAGCACTTTACAGCCTGGTGCCATATTTCTGGAAATAAATGTACGTTTGTAAATTAAAATCCTAAATATTTAAACAGTGTCTTTTTCCTGAAATTTGTTTTTAAGATAAATTTGAGAAGCAAAAATGTTCTGTGTGTATATATATATTTATTTTACTGATTTACTTTTCATAAAGTGTGTAAAGTGTGGCTTCTTTTCTTTTAAAATTTTGCCTTTGTTYCACTTAAACTGCAGGGTATTTTCCCATTTTTTTTTCCTTAGTAGTTATTTTTTGGGGAAGTAAAACAGTCCGGCAGGAGCCTTGGGAAAATACCCTTCTCTGTGCAAAAGGGCCCTTGGCCGGGGCCCATGTGGGAGCCCAGAGAGGCAGTGGGAGCTTTATGTTCCTGAGCTTTACACCTCCTTTGGGATCAAGTAATGAGGATTTGCAGAGCTGTAAAATGTTGTAGAGTGGCGGGAATAATGCACTTGTTAGCTCAAAATAAAACAAGGGTTACATTTTGTGGAAAAAAAGCAGGTTCATAGATTCCCCAAACAGGTACAGGAGATACTAGGATTAAAAGTAGACAAAAACTCCCCTTTTCTAATTTTTGCAACCTTCTAATCCCTTTTCTGTTTGCATAAAAAGCTTTTTCTTCTATTATGTGGAAAAAACAGACGTGGAGAGGTTAGAATGATGCAGAGGAGGCTGCAGGTCAGCGAAAGGCAAGAAAATAGAAACCTCTGTGCTCCAGGAGACCAAACTGAGGCAGAAGGCGACTCCTTTTTCAGTGTTTCTTACCTGTGGAGCAAACACACAAAGCTGCTCTGCCACATCACTGWGCTGGTAGGTATTGGATGTTATATTTACAGCCCTGTCAAGGTAGAAAAGCTTGCACAGCATTAGGTTAAGCAACTAGCCTATATTTAGCATCCTGCTTCTTGTCAGGATTGCTTACAAACTAGGAAAAATCCCATTGTATGTTTTGTTTGTGTAATAAGAAACAGCCTCAAAAGAGCCAATATTGGAACTCTTAGAATGATTTTAAACCAAAGTAACTGTCTTAAGTGAAATTAACACTAATAGTTTTTCAATATTGAATCTTGTCACTTGTTTTTAAAATGTGGCGTAATGATTCTAACAATGAAAGATGATAAGAAACCGACTATCAAGCAATTAATAAAAAACATAATGTTATAGATAATAAACATTTTATAGATAACTCCAATAGAGAAGCCAACAACATGCAATCTAGGATTGTCTGAAACGAGGGAATTTTAACATTTCTACAAGTAATAAATTGAGGGGAGGAGAAGAACAGAGAACAAGAGYAGAACAGAGAAGGGAACAGATGTAACTGTAACAAAGCTCTTGGCACCCCAGTGAATGGTAAGTTAGCAGAAAATGCTTCTATTTTGATAGTTATCCCAGAATACCACAGACTTCAACTGTACCAGTACTGACCACAAAGAATTCCTTTTTGTTCTTATTATATTACTATTTATTATTATTACAGTCGCTTCAGAGCTTCCAAGATAAAAASGGCGACTTAATGGGTGCTTTAAGTCAATGGTGCAGCCAATAAGGGGTTTGAATACACCCCTTCAAAGCATATTAAGCAAAATACTACTGACTCATGAAGAGTAGTTTTGCCAAAGTTGTGCTTCTTTAATAGTCATTGCTACAATTACCTAATAAAACCCCCTTTAAAAAGTGGGATTTTAGTTTCTGTGCTACAACTAAAACCCTTCCTAGATGTTTTTTCTCAGACATGCTTTCTTCAGTAGAGCATCTGAAGAAAGAAAATTAGGACAAACACAGCAGCTATAGTACTTACTCATACCAGGTCCAGTACTGCAGGTGTTGCAGGTAGCAAAGCAGGTATTTTTTTAGCTGAACCACATTATTTCCTTCATTACTGTTGCTGGAAAAGCCTGGTGTGATCCTGGCCCTGCTGGTCAGCACCTCTGTCAGCTGCTGAGCACCAGGATTTGGGTCTTCACACGCCTTAAGGAAGCTGAAATCCTTCACTGCAACCACATGCCGTAGATGTGGAACCAGCATCTCACCAAGTATTTTCACAGTGACTTGCTCTGCAGTTCCTCAAGGAGCCTATTTGTGTGTTAATGACCAGGTGGATTGAATGAGTTATGCTGGGGCCCTTTATTGCTCCTGTGACTCACTTCAATTCCATACAGACTACTGCTCTCCCGGGGCATTAATAGAGGAACTGAAGGCATTGTCGCAACAGAATAAAACTGGAGAAGTTACCTGAAACGGAGCCCTGGGTCTTTGGAGTAACTGAAATTAATCAGAGGGTGGTTTCTTTCTGCTGTGCAGAAGATGATAATCATGATTATGGGCAATGATCCATAGGATCCCCCAGCTGCTGCTGCCCCAGAGCCCATCCCGGCCGCTGCTCACCCTGTGCCAGGGGACACAGCTCCTGTATCAGCCCCCAGGCTCTCCCCTGGCCATCCCTACCTGCTCCCTTAAATAAGCTGCATTAGGAGAGCCTGGGAGCACAGCAGCTGCTCCCGCACAGGTGATTAAAGTAATGGCACTAATGTGAATGAGTGGCAGAACCACCTATGTAATGCATTGATGCTGAAGCATCATGTATTTTCCAAATAAACCAGCCTCCATCTGCTCATGCAATCGCTTTGCTCTTCCAGGCTTAAGTACTTAACTTATTCTAAATACTTATTTTAAGTAATGCACTTTTTTCTAGGTTGTTAAAGCAAAACACAGGATTCTTGCTTCTTACACTCTTGTGCCTACCAGCAAATAAAAAGCCTAGGCAGATTCTTGTTAACCTTGTAAAAACAACATCAGGAAGCACCTTTCAACATTTTCTGCACCATCTACTGATCTCATACAGATGATTTCAAAATGCCTCTAATCCAATAAGGAAGGAGAACATTTGATCCAAGATAAATGTTTTTATTTTTTTTTCCCCAAACTCAGACAAATATATTTTTGAAGACCACAAACACAAWTATTTTCACAAGCATATTAAAAATATCCGCCTTGCATGGAAGTTAGACTACTAAAATTCATGCTATTTAGATTTCAATAGCATAATAGCAAATTAAAGACATTCTCAGCTGTATAAATCACTACACTCTAGTGGACAGTAAGTAGAATTTCCTGTCTTTAGGGCAAACAATAGCCTAGTGGCAGTGAATTCACCACATAATGCAGATATTGCGGGTACTGCTACACCTAGCTCGGAACTACCAGAACAGATCAGCCCCTCCTGTTGTCATTGAGCTTCTCAGCTATCTTCTGCAGTTCCAAGTCCATAGCAGCCAGGTTCTCCAGTTCTTTTTCCTGCGAAAAGAGTAGGATGGAAGTCAAGGGACTGCTGAATTTTGCTTTAAACCTGCACCTCCTTTCTCAGCTGTATGATTTAACCAGCCAGTTGGGACTTGCTATTCACCTTTCTTCTACTGCAATGGGTATCTTTGTTCTGTCAGTCCACAAGACCCTAGAGGTGGAGGCAAGGCTCAAAGAGCAGGAAAAATCTCCCWTCTCTTCCTGCCTGGCAGCAGACAGCAGGACACACGTTGCCTTTATCTTTACAACCTGGTCCCTGAACCAGCTCCACCGAGTTCATTCACAGAAAGCAGAGTTTTTAAAATCGCTGATTTGGCTCTTAAGGTGACTTAAGCTAAGGTTTTGGTTTTAAATCGGGATTCTTGGAAAGGGACCTTAGAAACAGGCGTGTAACATCATGTAATTAAACACCAGCTGCCATTAGTTATGCAGAGAATCACCTGCACGTACCTCCTCCTGCGTCAGAGGCCTCTGACTCAGATCCCCCCTGTCGTTCCTGATTCCGTGACGTTTCTTTATGTCTTCCCCAGAATCATACAGCTCTGGAAACTCAGCCGCCTTCTTCCTGAAATCCAGCAGCTGCGCAAGCTCATCCATCCTGTCGTACTGCCTTTTCGCATCAAACCTGCTGCCTTTACCAAGATTCCTCTTCTCGGCGCGTCCGTGGTTCARGGCGTCCAGAATTTGCTTTCTCTCCCACCAGTCGTAGTCATATTCAGGGAAAAGATTCCCCTCGGCCCGGGCGGGCCCGGCCTCCTCTTTGCCCTCGGGGAGCTGCTGCCCCACGTGCTCCTTCTTCTCGAGGCGATGGCTCTTCCAGCGCAGCAGCGAGCGCAGGGGGCCGTACAGCGCCGCGGCTCCCCTCTCCGTGTCCGCGGGGAAGCGGCCTTTGTGCTGCCCCCTCTCTGCAAACCTCCCTTCCTCCGTGTTCTCCGTGTTCTGGATCTGCTCGCTGCTGTGATGCTTCTCCTCTGCCTCCTCCTCCTCCTCGCTGTGGCCAGGGTCGTGGTGCTGCTCTGCGCTCTCCTCTGTGCTGTAGTGTCTCCTGACCTGCTCGCGGCTCTCTCCTACGGAAACTTTCTGCATCTCTCCGTCTTCACTGTCCTGCAAGCGGCGTCTTTCCACACTGCGATGCTGCTCCTCCTCCTCCTCCTCGCTGCCTCCCTTGGGATACCTGTCCGGACCTTCCCCACCTTCTCCATATGTCCTCCCCTCAGCGCGCTGCCTCGCTGCCTCTCGGGATCCATSGTGGGCTCTCCTCTCCTCTTGCCATTTCTCCTCACTTTGCCGRTGCCTCTGACCTTCCTCCTCGCTGCTCTCCTTGCTCTGCTGCCGCCTCTCGCCGTGCTCCTCTCCTCCCCAGTCCGAATCCCTCTTTTCCTCCTCAGACCCCCCTCTCCTCTCCTCACGTTGCCGCTCGGGCTCTTGGCGGTGCTGGTGGCGGTTCCTCCTGTCCCAGGGCCGGCCTTCCTCCGCGTTCGCTTCCTCGGCCAGTTTTCCCTTCTCTCCGCTGTGCGCCCTCCCTTCTTGGGAGTCATCCATTCGGTGCTTCCTGTGGTAACGCTCTGGTCTGTGGGCTTCCTTTCCCTCCGCTGCTGCTTCACTCTCGATGGAGTCTTCACGATGGCGCTGATGGGAGGAATCGCGTTCCTCGGACTCGTGGCGGTATCTTGCACTTCTTTCCGCCTCCCMCTCCTCACCCTCATGAATCCTCTTGCCAGGACTTTGCGTTCTCTCCTCTGGATGTGCCCAGCCCACGGCGTGTTGGTCATTCCCGTCAGGGAATTCCTCAGTACCTGCGGATTTCTGGTTGGGAACGGCGCGCTCTGCCTCTTCATCACGATGCCTACTCTCTTTGCTGCTGTCTTCCCYGTAGTAACTGTTCCCATCTTCCCTGGCCTCCTGATGGTGCCTCATCTCTTCCGTTTGGCGTTCATCTTCACGAGCCTCGTGAACGGACATGTCACGGCCGTCCTCCTCTTCCTCCCTTTTATCTTCCTCCCAACCAAGTTTCTGTTCATCGCTTCCTTTCCTGCGCGTTTTAGATTCCATTTCAGTCTGACCTTGCTCTTTCTCCACACTCCCAGCGGGACGTTCTTCATTCTCTGCTGGCTCTCTCAAATGCCTCATTTCAACTTGTTTGTCCCCATTTTGCTCTCTGTCATTTTTGCCACCTACAAGAACAAAAGTAGCTTAATGAAGTATTCTAACTCGACGCTGAAGCAAACTGGCTTTCCAAAATAACACAAACATATGCAAGAACTAATTTTTTTAATTCTACTTTTAAAGCTCATCACTGCCTTCCCTTTTGAACGTTTGCCTGGAAAAGCATTAATTTTCATTTCACTTGATATTTTTAAAGTTCCAGAGAAACTTCCAGAAATATATTTCCTCGCTGGCTTTTGTACGCGTTTGGAATAGCTCCTGTTTTTCACAACAGAAAGCCAACCRTTTATTTCAAGCTTCTCAGATAGGTCTGAGGGGCAGTATAAATACACTTAAAGAAGCTTTTAATCACATCTCAAGAGTCCCAGCCTAATTGAGAGGCTCCCTCTCCGCACAAAGCRGCTGACAGAAGAGGAAGAGGTTTCTCAAAGCCACTGATGGCAATAAGAATCCTCGCACTGAAACTGCATGCGCGTTATCTGTGACCCGATTCACACGGGCTGAAATAGCAGTTCACACACAGCAGAATCCACTTGCGGATTTATTTCCCAAAGTCGCCACCAACAGAGTCTAATACTGAAATTCTTATTTTGTGTGAATATTCCCAACTTGCCTACGAAACTCCAGGCTGTTCTTATAAATAAAGATGAATCATTTAATRACTTACTGCAAGATCAGAGTTCTAGTATTTGGGAGAGGAAAAGTATATATATAAATATATATATTTATTTGTGTTTGCACTTGGCAACAACATGCAGAAATTTGAAGTTGACTCTTACAAGCTTTTCCTCTCAATTTAAAAGACAAGACAATGTCTTGTCAGACSTGCTTTGTCATCATTAATAGCAATGTAAAGTACTCAGCTTCCAAAATGCTTTTTTTAATATATGAAATTAAGATGATGAATGCTTCTATCCTGCAAAATGAGAACRTTTGTTTTATAAAACTAACGGTGGCATCTACCAAGGCCCTTTCACAAGCTGAAATTATTCTGTACTTACTCTTCCGAAGGATTTCTTTGCACTCCGGATTAATCGGTGGTGCATTTGGCTTCGACAAAGCATTGGAGAGAACTTCTACTATRCACTCTGTCACCTAGAAGAAACAAAAATGCCGTGGTGAAAAATGGAAATCCTTCTTTCGGCCACTGGTAAAAGAAACTCGTGAGGGAGAGCAGTTTAGGGTTATACTGAGGATAAGCTTTATTAGTCTGRAGCAATCCCTGGCTCTGCATTTTCAGCAGGTGGGTCACTCTGCTCCTCACTTGCACAGCAGCAGCAGAATCACTACCTCTTTTCTCCTCTTCCCCCTCTTTTGTYTGCATAGGTAACAGGCTCCCATTGGTTTTTGCTTGCTTTTTTTAATATATTAAGCATCCCAGTCAGTACAAAGCCAATTACACATGCAGTAATGAGGCTTTTCAAGAAAATAACCAACATGAGTTTGGTAAACGAGCGTCACGCTTCAGCACCTGCCCCAACAACAGGTACTACTTGGGTTGCCAATAAACAAARCAAGAAAACCCAACAGCCCTTGAGGGACAGATACACCACAAAACACTGAAATATTTCCCTCAGGGGTGTCCAGGGACCTATACCCGTGCCCCAAGCCCTGCCTCTCACAGCACTTGACCCTCAGCTGGACAGCCCTCCTTGGCTCATTGCATAGTTGATGGGTATTGCCCATTATTTCGCCTCCCTTCAATTTTCAAATTCCATCTCGCTGTTTATAAGCTGACTGCAGGCGCTGCCGAGCGCATTTCAGACCATTTTGCAGGCAGCTGCACSACACAATTTGTAGAGTAATGAAGCAGCCCGACACGTAGGTGTCTCCCGCTCACTAAAGGGACACCAAGTTCCACCTCAGTGACGGCCTCTTAAATTTTACCCTCGGGAGGAAAAAAAATGGTATTTTCCCACAAGTTTGAAAACCATTCCAGAGCCAGAACAGTGGAGAACGTGCGACTGAATTGCCCAAACCTGTTGTGACATGGAGCTACTCACCATTTCTTCAATACGGGCTTTATCTGCTGGAACTGCACCGACACCTACAAGAAAGAAAAACATTATTGCCGGGGTTAATCCKGGCACCACCACCGTTGTCAGGAGATCTCAGTCAGGAGCTCTCCATCAGACTGGCCCAGGAGGCAGAGGGATGTTTCGGCACGGAGTTAGGAAGACGGATTAACGGCAGGTTGGTTCTTCCAACTTGGCACATCCTTGGTGGCATAAGGGCAAGGAAACACTTACCTGGCGGGCGGGAGATGGGCGCTACGATCCCCTCGGCGCGTTACCCGCCGCAGCGACATTCCCCGAAGCCTCCGGAGCTGCTCCTGCCCCGTCTCCCGTGCCCATCCTGTCGCCTTAGCCCATAAGGAGAGGCCACAAGGGGAAGAGGCGGCTCCAGCCTTGGGAATGTGCCCATGGGCACCAAAGAAGCCTCCGACCATCCCCRTGCCGTTGGAGCTGCCAGCTCTGCTCCGCACACCGAGAGTGGAGCCAGCGGGACGGGACACACGGAAACAAACCCTTGTCCTTCCCAAAAGGAGCGACCGGGCACGGACAAAGCCACCGGGACAAAGCCAGGCCTGCAGGAGCCCTGCAAGCGCCTGAGCTGGCTTTGCCGACGTGCCGGGAACCAACCAGGATGTGAGAAAAGGGGCGAGAGCTGCAGCCTCGCAGCCCGAAATAACGCAGGACAAACCCGCGCGGCTCCGGCTTTCATCTCCAAGAACGAGCAAGCCTCCCGGTGGGTCCCTGCTATTTTAATCCCTCCATAGCGGGGTTTTTTTTAATTATTATTATTTTTCTCTCCATTGATGCTGATGACTCAGTCCTGCTGCCACCCCTGATCATCACTTCCAGCCAAATTATTCCACGGTGCGGATCAAGGAAACCCGGGCACGACGATGCCGGGAGGCCACTAGAAAGTTCTTGGGGTTGACACCGCCACCCACTCCCCACGGCCAGGATCCCTCGCCCTGCAGCCTGGGGGCTCCTGGCTGGCGGGTGAGAGCAAGACGGGCGCGGAGAGGAGCAGCTTGACGGTGGAACCACGGACAGGGCGCGGAGAGGAACCCCCGGGGCTGCCGGGGGACGCAGCCCCCAAGGGCGGCCGTTAACGGCGCCCACCGCCCGCCGCGACGTAGAGCGGGCTCGCGTGACGTCACACGCCGCCCGCGGCGTCGCGGCCGGGAGCCCCCGGAGCCGCCCGCGCCCCCCCACCGCGCCTAACGGTCGTAACGGTCGTAACGGCCGCGCGCTCACCTGCGAGGGCGGCGGCCGCGAGGAGGGCGAGCGGCGCGAGCGGCGCCATGGCTCCCGTTGCCGCTCCGCTCCCGCTGCCGCCGCCGCTGGGCTGCGCTCGCGCCGCCGCCGCTCGCCGCTCCTTAAAGCGGGCCCGGGGGCGGGCGGAGACGGGCGGGGGCCCCGCCGGGAGCTGCGTCACCGCGAGCCCCCGGGGGAGGCGGGCGCGCCGCCCGGCCCCGGCCCCGTTACCGCCTCCATCCGCCGCGGCGCCGCTGCCCCCTCCGTCCTCCACCGGCCCCGGCCCCATGGCGCGACCCTTGGCCACCCCTCAGGGCGAGCCGCGGGAGAAGCACCSCGTTGAGCAGCGCTGCTCGGCCTTCAGGTGGCTGTGCCCAGCCTCGAGGGGACGGGCACAACAGCTAAACGATACAGGGCGCTCGATAAAGATACCCGCGCTATGCGTATATTGCTCCATTCCCCCCCGTGCAGGTGGGTTTGTATATATTCACCCTGCAAGGCTCCTGAAACGCTCCCTTATCCAGCCTCCTGTGAGGAGCACGAAGCCCAACACGCGGCGCCAGGGCTTGCACCRTGGCCGTGGAGGCGCCTCGTGGTGCTGCGACCATCGGCCGCCTCGCGAATAAGCAGTGCCCACCGTGCTGGATTCCCCTTTGGGAAATGCACGTTCGGCTCCTGCTCAAGCTGGACTTTCAAGGGTGGCGAGTGAGTTTTCACGCCTGTTTCTGAGCTCCTTCTAAACTGAGGAGAGGCTGCTCGGGGACGTGGGGCTCGTCCTCATCTAATGGGATGAGCTGCTGGGATTATGGTCACTCTACGATGCCAATTAGTTTTCGYGGAATGCAAATCCTGCAGCCCACTGCACGACCGGACCCATCTCTCTCCTTCAGAAGGTGCTAAGGTTTTGTTAGACACCTGCGTGTATGTTTAGGCACCAGCAGGTCTGTACCTACATATGTGTGTGTTGGCAAGCAGGGTGGGCGCCCCACTTGTGCGGTCCCAAGCTGAATGCCAGTGAAGAGCAGGAACAGGCACTGGGCGATACAAGGGGGCGATTCCGTCTCCTCTATTTGAATGGGGGTCTGGGTCATCCCCCGTGCTGTTTCCTAAAAACAACTACCAGGATCTCTAGTCTCAAGGCTTTTCTTTTTTTTTTCCCCATCAATCTATGTATATCTATGTATATATCATCTATCTATGTATAAAAAACTTAAAAATTAGTTCATCAAAACCCAGAGAGTCYCAAAAGTTCCAGCTCATTCTCTCCCGACTGATCTCCCCCCTTATCCTTCCACAGAGGAGGATTTTGCCCAGTCATAACGCTCTTCTCTCTCCTTACTCCAGCTTCTGTCCCACAGGTTTTACATGGCCAAACTAAAAAGAAGTTGACAAGCTACCTCTAAGACATGTCGTAGATCTTAYGGAATATTAAAACGGTCGCGGGCGCTCCTTTGCGCTGCTGCAAAAAGCCTTGTGCCAGCTGATAGAGTCGCGCAGGACCTGCAGGTGCCCTCACGGGCCACAAAAGCCGTGAGGATATCACCAGAAAAATAATGCAGTGCAATAAAATATAATGCAATGCAACACAATATAATACAATGCAGTGTGATATGCAATGCCATGGATGGAGGAAGCAGAGCAAGGCTGAAAATGCAGCCTTTGGTGCCTGCAGCCCCGCTGGCCYGGCTGGCTGCAGACACCGGGTGCTGCATCTGACTGCACTTATCTCCYGAAGTTACCCTGCTTTGGCAAGAGCGGGAACCACAGTTTTGGCCCAAAASGAAAGGCGCTTTTCTTGCCCTTTTTCTTGCCCGCCCTGTTGCTTGGGGYGTTATTCGTCATTAAACAAAAACAACATTTGCAGCTGCCTTTGCGCTGCGAATAATTTCATCTGGGCAATGAAACGGTCCCATTCAGSCTTCGTGCCTGCGTTTTGTCAACTGCTCCATGTTCCACTTTGTATTTATGGACCAGGGCACTAGGCTGGCTGGCTTGCTAATTTATTGCTTAAAATGTTCATAGCGTTTCACCTCCCAGCAAGGGTTCTGTTTGGTAAGAATAATATTGTTCGGAGGTGGAGAGAGCAGAAATTTCCCAGAGGCAAATTTCAATTTTGTAAGATAAAAATATATAGATTTCTGCAGCAGACTGCAATCATTTTAAAGGAGAAAAAAACTCATTATGCACATGCATGTGATTTCACAGCGATCGGGTCTATTTTGTGACGCCCAAATCTCATACATTTTAAGCAAGAATTGCCAAAGAGATTTTCAACCGCCTCTTAGGCTGGCACTAAAAGCAGAAACCAGCTGCGGAAAGAGCTGGTGGGAAAGGAGAGAGCAAAGCCCCAGATTTGCTCTCTGATAAYGCAGACAAGGGGCAGCTTTGCGGGCGCCCCGCTCACAAGCCGCTGGTTTTTGCCCCCAAGCACGACGTACCACTGCCATTACCTGCTCCCAGCTGCACCGGCGCTTCCCACTCCRAGAACCTCCTTTCTGGTGCCAATAAAACCGTGCCCAGCTCGGCCTGAGGTGAGATTTTCCATGCCAGATGGTGTTTCCTTACAAGACTTTCCTTCTTCATTCACGGAGCCTGCAAATAAACAGGCTGTGGCAAAGGCAATTTAAATAAATTCGACCTTTCAGCCGCGAGGTTGCTGGCTGCACTCAGCTCCAGCTGCCGTCTTAATCACATCTTATTATTTCATGCTCTGCTATGTGCCAGCTCTTACTTTTAAGGGAGAAATGCTGGCATATGTTGCTGATTAATAAAAAGGCAGGGAGAAATAGTCATTAGGGAAAGCCTACRGAGCAGGGTATTTTTAAAATGAACTTTTATGTTGTGGGAAAACATTCCCCCCCCTAGATCACCAACACTCGATAATGAAACAGATGCATTTATAGAGATCACACCCTGCCTGCGTACGCTCGTTCTGGAAGCCGTATGCCCCGAAATACCCACGTGCAGCAAAAATCCCCGGGGAAAAAAATCCCCTGGGGTTACGAAGCTCCCCGGCTCTGCGCACAGGATGGCAGCGCTGATGCTTTCGGCCCCAGCGTCATGCTGGAGAAATCCCTCCTTCCTGTCTTCCCTGGGAAGAAACCCATAGGAAAAGATCCATGGGAAAAGACCCCCAGGTGTGCTGCCCTGGCTGGGAGGACCGCACGGAAGGCGGGATGTTCAGGCAGGTCCTTGGGCAAAAGGCAGCGCCGGGAGAAGCAGCAGAGCTGCGCGCAGCGACACTCGGTGCTGTGTAGGGCTGTGGTGGCACCAGTGTCACCACCACGTGTCCCGAGGGTGGCGGCGCCCGCACGGCGGATTTCATCCTTTCCCATCCATAGGGATGGGGCTGAGGGAGAGCTCGGTGACCATGTGTCTGGTGCCGGCAGGATCATGGGTGCCGCGACGGAGTGGGAGCAGCCCTGGAACAGGCTGCCCAGGAGACTGCGGAGTCTCCTCTGGAGATCTCCCAAACCCGGGTGCCCYGTGCTCTGGGTGTCCCTGCTGGAGCAGGGGTTGGACTGGATGATCTCCAGAGGTCCCTTCCAACCTCCTGCGAGGCCACGGGTGAGCCCAGCGGGCTCCGGCCGTCCAGCTCCTCCTGCGGGTTCCCAGGGAGTCGCCGGAGAGTCACCACAGGATTTTGGCAACTTTTGAGGCACTGATATCAACACTGGAGAAAATTCCCTGCCCCCAGGTCTGCTCGGTGCCGAGCACCTTCCTCCCTTCCTCGGCAGTAGCCCCTGCAGCTGTGCGTGCTGGAGCAACACAAGCTCCAGGGAGGCTRCTGCTTGAACTGCACTACTGACAGCGAGCTCCGCAGCAAGTTTTTGTTGTGGATCCTGCTTTTCCCAGCTCACCTGCTGCTGAAGCCGCTCACGTTGTTTCTCGCTGCATGAAGCGGGCAAAGCAGCAGGTGAGGCAGCACCACAGGGAAGGCTGATGCGCCAGCTTTGTGACAGCTCAAGGACAACCACCCTARCCCAGCGTATCCGTAAGCTACAGGCGAAGGGAGGCTGGTGCACCCGTAGCAGATCTGCGTCGCTCCAAGGCACAAGCTCCCCCGGGGATCTCGTTTGCACCCTCAGCAAAGGGAGAGGGGGAGAGAAGCTGGTGGGGAGAGGGGCTGGTGGGGCTGGCAATGGGGCAGGGGTCTGGGGCAGCACTGGGAGAGGCATCAGGGCTGTTCCCAGTCATCCCGCTCCACGAAGGCAGCGACTGGCAGGACCGAGGAGCCCTGTCCTGGCAGCCCCTCCTTACCAGAGGCTTCTGCCTTCCTCAGGGCTCCTCTTCATCGCAGGGGATGAAGTAGACTGTGCAATAGCAGTTGTCAGGATCCAGAAGACCAGTCTTTAATAACTGTCCCAAGAGATTCCCTTCCATTTAGACTGTAAAATAAAACCCCATAGCTTTATTCATTCCATACAACACATCTTAGTTACACCTGCAAATCAGCTCAAGRAATTTAAGCACAGACCTGCTGGACCACCTGTGCCTTTGCTCAGCAGCAACAGTAGTAGTCACGATGACAACTTCTCCTGAGCAGCACCATAAAGCACCAAATAACCCTGCATTTCTTTCAAGTGAGTGAAATGTGCTCCAAACCCCTGGGGCTTTCAGCCCGGAGCACCTGAGGATTGGTGAAGTGATGTGATGTGATTCATCCAYTCCCCCATCTCAAATAAACTAGGGAGTTTATCAGGAGTGAGTAACGCAAAGGGTCTGGCTTTCAGCAGGCCTGGCAACACACAGAGCAGGTCCCAGCACAGGTTCGTAGAAAGTTAATGAGCAGCGAGTGTGAAAGGAGCGATGGGGATTTATTCTCTGGGCAGCAACTGCACCATAAAATCCCAATGAAACACCCACTAAAACGAAGGGGTTTCTCCAGATACAGAGCAGCTCATTTTATGGCAGGAATGCTCAGCTATTTTAAGCATACTTGGACTCTTAGCACCACAGTGAGGCGTCTGGCAAGCCTGTCACACTCCCTTTAATATCTATCTTGTTTTCTTAGCATTAAAGTCAGTGGGATTTGGGGAGCCTAAGCACCAMCACGATGAAAAACACATCATGAAGAAATTAGGTTCTGAATTTTAGGAAAACAAGGTTTTGGAGAAGACCAAACCCCACTGGGTTTCTGGGCATTGCAAGCGCTCTGGGAAAGTGGCTCAGCCTACGGGCTTCATGAAGCAAAAGCTGCCTCCAAGCCAGGGGCCTGCAGCCTGGGTGATGCCCRTCGCACCACTCTCTTTCCCCACTCACCGGCCTCCGCAAGAGCCTGACATTCACGGAGATGCTGCAAGATTCATTCCAAAGCAGTGGACAGCAGCCCTGTGGTTGGTAGCCCCTGGGGAGGGCGCGTGGAGCAAACGCTGCAGGCGGCAGCGAGCAAGCCTGGCAGCTGGGACTTAGTGATTCGGGTCACAGACGCCCACAAGGACGTTGCCCCTCACCCTGAGCACACCAGGAAATTCATCTCCAGATCCCACACAAGTGCTCTCCAATCAGCAAGTAATAATAACGGACCTTACTGGAGTGCTGAAGGTTGTCTCCTCCTTTGCTAAAGCTCCAAGGCAGATCCTGCAGCAACAGGGGCTAACGGGCTGCAGAAATCCACAGCGAAGCAGCCGGCTCGGAGCCGCAGAGGTTTCAGCTCTGCTTTGCCTAGGTGCTCTCCATCTCCCAGCACCTGATGGGTTCCAGCACCTCCAAACACTGTGGCTGGGGGGAGATATTTTAGGTTGCTCTTTTGCCAGCTCATACAGAACAGAGGGGGGGAAAAATTCATATCTCTGYTCAGCTGGTGCATTTGAAGTGTTAGAAGCATCACTAAGGCAACAAGAAAAAAAAGGAAGGGAAGAAAAAACTAAAGGAACCCTGCTGGGAAGGCGGTTTCTCTCCCATGTGCCAGGTGCTTTTCCTGTGGCCTCCTTTTCCTGTGGCGCTCAGTCCTCCTGGAAGGCGCCCAGGAATGGGCCGACAGGCGGCTCCGCACTGAGGCAGAGCCTCCATCCTCCTGCAAGCCGGCACCCAGCTCCGCATCCCGCGTGGCGCGTCAGGGGCCGGGCCCGGYCGCCTCCTGCCTCCACAGGAGCCGCAGGACGTCCTCGGAGAGGCCGGGCGCTCTCCTCCATCCTTGCGGCACGGCTTCTCCCTCAGCCGGCGCGGCGAACTGCGCGGCGCCGGGGGGGTTTGGCAGGATCCTGCGCCCGTCCCTGTTCAAGACCACCTGGGCCAGCTGCAGGCAGCGCAAGGCGTACTTCCTGCCCTCCCGCGCTGCCAGCTCCGAGATCCTCTGCGACAGACAGCGGGACACGGCCTCACACGCGGGATCCCTCGCGCCCGGCCGCGGCGCGCAGTACGTCTGGTAGAAGCTGTCGAGGGCCTTCCCGACGCCGTCGTGCTCGTGCGGCCACGAGGGAGCAGCATCGCTGGGCTCGTTGGGCTCACGGAGCCCGGCTTTGGCTGGAGAGCCTGCGGATCCTTCCCCAGCGCCTCTGCCAGGAGAGCCCCCAGGGGCGGCAGGGGGTCGTTCCCCCTCTCCTGCAAACACAGGACCAGTGAAACTCATCAGTCAACATGTCCCCCSACGCGGTCTCTCCCTGTTTCTGTCTTGGTTCCCTCCTTCCCCACCCTCGCTGCTGGCTCTGGGGCCGTGCGGCGGCTCCAAGCTCCGGCCGGCCTGCGAGGAGCCCCTTAGGGCCGCGCTGCGCTCGGGGCTCACGGCGTCCCAGCCTCGTCCCCTGCSGCAGCTCCGGCTCCCTCGGGCCGCCCGCCTCCCACACGGGCCAGGGGCCGCGGGCTGGGCGGGGGGCACGGGCAGGCTGCAGCCCAAGCTCCTCGGCCTCCTGTTCTGCTTCCACCCAGCTCTCACCTCCTCCTTTGTCGCTGCCCAGTTTTACCCCGGCAGGACCACGTGTGCAGTCTTAYCCGCCAGCCTTCAGGCAGACCCAGCGCTGCCAAACCTACAGATTTGGGGTGTGCGAAAGGGCACCTTGTGCTTCCACCCGCGGCCCCGTCTGGGCAGCCCAGCATCAAATGATCTTCCCATTTAACGGTCTGGGCACCGAGCTCTGCTGCCTTTGGGTGCTCTAGTCATGACCTCCCCACTCAGCCCCAGCGCCCGTCCCTGCTTTGCAGGGCTCRGCCTGGGGTTGCAGAGCCTCCCCCACGAGCTACCCAGGCAGGACGCAGCGGGCTGCGGAACAGCTCGGTCTTGCACAGTGCAAAAACACAGATATTGGTTTCACAGCACCAGGAGACACCACGGTGGTGCCGTTACACCCTTCTCTTACGGGAATAAACCAGCAACTTCTGACATAGTTGTTCCTCCCTGCCGTCGAAGCACAATCCACACAATGCAAAGGAGTGACCAGTAAGTAACTGCAGGGTGTATTTGCAGGGGCTGCTTAGTCAGAAAGTGCTCAACTATATTTTGGGGCATTATTTACTGATTCAAATTTATCCACCTCTTTTTCTGCACCAGGCCTCATCTTCAGAGCAGATTCTCTTTCCGCTACAGCTTTCTTAAGGCAAGGCATGAGGAGGTGGATGCAGAATTCCCAGAACCAAGGCAASTCCCGTGAGGATGCCTCTTTCCCGAGCTTCCCTGTCCCTTCCCAGTTGCACCTCAGGCCCAGAGCGGAGACGGGCAGGGCCGCCCCTCGTTTGCCTGCAGCAGGGCTTCATCACCAGGCAAGCTGGCCCACATCATTCGTACCAGTTTCTCACTCTCTCGTACTACCAAGCTGGTGTGGAAGAATAAAAATGCAAAGAAACAGCCAAGCAGGCCATTACTCATGTCTTGATTTCACTCTCACATGACGGAGAATCATCGGTAGGGAGCTCTATCACTTCGCCCGCCTCCCCGCTCACGGAGGATCAGCATTTGCAGCTTATTAGCCCAAGACCCCCGGGCTGGTAAAAGGCCATTGTGTCTGTTTATAACCCTGCTGATGAAAATTTAAAGCCTCCATCTGGCAGGGCCGACTCTCGGCACACAAGCACCAGGGAAAGCTCCTGCTTTCCGCTCGCAGCGGGTCGAAATGCTGTTGTTTGGTCCCTCGCCACCCCGTGCTGCACCTTGCGCCCGTGTTTGCTCTCCCTCTTCCTTGGGGCTGCTTTGGCTTGTGGTGTTCGCAGCTTCCTTGGCTATTAACTGCTTCCTGCTCAACACTAAGCCAGCATTAATAAGGAGATGTCCTTATTATATGAGGAGAGTGGAGGGAACCAACTTGCTTCATCTCACCCCAAAGATTTCTCTGCTGCAATTTAACTATTTTCAACCAAGTGAACCACCAAAAAAAGTCTAATTTAATTTAAGGCAGACAGCAACATCAATGGGAAGGAGTTCTTTGCATTTGCCAGCCTAAGATCCCCCTCTTGCTATCTTACAACCTGGCTAACTAAGAGGATCTGGAATGGTATTTTCCATGGCAGGAGGCTACCGATGGCTGTTTTGGACAGAAAAACCTTGATAAAATTGTGTTATTTCCAAAAGTCAGATTACTGAATGTAGAACAGATGTTTTTGAAATGATTTAGCATTTCCATGCTTTGRAACAAGCCGAAAATTTATAAGGGTTTGGGATATCCCAAATGATCCCTTCCCAGTTTCTCTGAATACCCGGCCGGTGTTAAGAGCTTTTGCGAGCCCTGCACAGACCCGCAGCCGGCACAGCGTCCAGTTCCTCCTCCTCCAGCTCCTGCTTCCAAGCCCCCCCAATATCCCCCCATTATCCCCAGTGCCCCTTGCCCATGGAGGCACCCAGAGCGGCCGGGAGGGGAGGATCCTCGTCCTGCTTCGGCGCCTTGGTGGGTAATGGAGGCCAATGGCCTCTCCGCGGGAAGAGGGCAACTTCATCCACATGTGTTGGGGTGGGGGAAGCCAACCTCAACTCTTTTTTTTTTTTTTTTTCCCATTAAAATCTAGTAATTTCAAGCTAATTAGTCCTCCTCCCAGACTTTCCAAAGGCAGCGGACATTAACTTCCACAGCAGAAGAGGAAGCACAAGCTCCAAGGGTGCAGCAAGTCTTTGCAATCCCTGTTTCATCTTGCTTTTAAACCCTTCCCATTTTGTTGCTGCTTTATCCTTTCATTTTCAGCAACAGAGCTCCAGAGAACTTCAAACATTCAGTCTYAATGCACAAAAATTCAAAGGCTCCCGGGCACTGACCCCTTAGTAAAATGGTTTAATCAGCATTAGCAGCCCAACATCTCATAGATCAGAAACCTCCAAACTAGCACACGATGTTGAACCATGTCCCCCTATGAATTATCAGCCAATTTCTTTGCATGATGCCCTACTGGACATGTGCCAGGGGTCAATGTGGAGCACCAGAAGAGCTGCCCCATTGGCCTAAGTGGAGAAGGGCGAGACTCTTGACCCCTTTCAGCACAAACTGCTGATTTCTCAGGGCAAGGATTGAATCTCTCTGTGGCGCCACCCTCAAKAACGACTGAGGAAATTAGGGAAATGGGAAAGGAAAATCATTTGTTTCAGTGAAAACATTGCATGGAGACATGCAAATTGAGATGATGTTCTCACAAAACACGTCTGCTTCCTGCCATCCTGCCTGCTCCAAAGGCCAAAAGGCATCGCTAGGATTAGCTTGCCTGAACAAACKTCCCCAAAAAGACATTCCCATAGAGCTGTGCTACTAAACAGTTGAAAAGGAGAAAAAKAAAATAAAAAAGAAAAAGCATAGCAGAGCGCTACAAGAGGAACAGTTTCCGAGGGCTACGTGAGTCATGGCAATGCACGACCAGGCGGGTTTGAGCATGGTGGCCACGAGGCAGTGGCCGTTCAGCTACAGATCCTACAGATTGGGTTACTTCTTCTTCCCTGCCAACCTGTTAGGTCACACCAGAGGAGATCACTGCACACATAGGAGAGGGTCTCCTACCTTTGTGGTCACTGCCAAGAGACACCAGAGCCGGTTGTGTCTCCAGCCCTGCCGGCTCCCAGGGAGATCCCTTGTTGGAGCAGCAGCATTTTGGCAGAGCTCCCCCGACCGCGTGCCCAGGCCAAACCAGCCCACCGAGGGGACGACCTGCGAGCCCAGGCACAAGGGGCAGAGCTGCCCGTGCTGCTGAGCAGCTCCTCGTGTGCCCTCGTGCACCGAGCCCTGGAGGCAGCTCAGGCTCAAAACCCGCATCTTTCATTTCCCTCCCTGTTCCACCTGGCTGATTCCCAGCGGGAGGGAGCAGACCTGCACGGYAGCGATATTCCACACGGCTCTGGGAAAACAAGAGGAAATTTAGGCAGAGATTAGCAGGAGCTCATTATACCCCACGCTCTCAGAGCAACGGCACACAGGCGCGCTCAGCCACGGATACTTTGGGAGCAGTTCCTCGCCACTGCTTGCATTAACCAAACTTCCATTGATTGCAGCAGTTAAAAACTCACGTGGGACTTGCTGACTGCAGATGCCGACTGACATCGAAGGATATTGTATCACACTTTATATGACTTCTGTTACTAACGTTTAAATTGCTACTGTTAGCTCCAGGCAAGAGACATGTGGGCTGTGGCACCTGCCACRGGCCTTCCACAAGATCTCGGCCGTGAGCCGGGCCCAAGCAGGGCCAGGACAAGGGGCAATGGGCATAAACTGAAACCCTGCCCATTCCATCTCCATGTGAGGAAGAGCTTCTTTGCTGTGAGGGTGCCAGAGCCCTGGAACAGGCTGCCCGGGGAGGCTGTGGAGTCTCCCTCTCTGGGGATCTTCCCAACCCACCTGGATGCGACCGGGTGCCCCGTGCTCTGGGTGTCCCTGCTGGAGCAGGGGGTTGGACTGGATSATCTCTAGAGGTCCCTTCCAACCTCAGCCACTTTGTTCGTCTGTGAGGCAGCAAGAAGGGAAGGCAGAGGCAGGAGCTGAAGATGTTTGAGAGGAGAAAAAGGAGTCAGCAATGGAGAAATAGTGCAGAGTTGAGTGAGTCTTGCTGCCTTTTTCCTTGGATGTGGTGTGAAAAGCCAGTGGGGATTAACTTGCACAGGATAAGATGTCAGCAATTATTCTTGGGAGAGCAAGAGCCCTCGCTCTTCTGCTTAGCTCTCTCAAGGATCTGGCGCTCAGGAAGAATAAAAAGCCAGGCAAATGGTAAAGCCCTTTTGAAATGCAATAAGCAGGGCCTAAGGTGTCCCCCTAGACCCTCTTCCAAATGTCACGGTTGGTGTTTGACTTTGCCCTCCTCTGCGAGCTTGCAGCTGATGCCTCCTATGCTGCGCTTTGCAGACAGCTGCAAAGCTTAGGAAAAGGGAAATCTTTTGGGGGTGCTGCTGCTTAAACACGATGGATTCTACCCGCCGAGCAAGGCAGCTGGCRATGCAGACGGCTGCAGACGCACAGCTCTTCCTTCCTGAAAGCTGAGCACCGGCACCGCGCGCTGCTCGGGGCCCCGTTCCAGGCAAGCCAGCCCCACGGCCACAGTGGGGCCGGAGACAGCAGCACCCCGCGATCAACCCCGTCACCTCGGGCAACACCCCAATCAACACCTCGTGGTGGCTGCTGCTGCACCTTCAGGCMGGCCCTGCAAGG